AGAGTTAAAATTACGTCTGCTGGAGGATGGTGGGGGCTATCATTAGGGTTTAAACAAAACAAGTTTAGGGTTCCAAGGACAGTAACACATAAAAAAACTTCAGAGCTCCAACATGATTTCATGATTACATCTAACCTATGCAACTTCTCATCAGACTTGTATTTCTCATGCATGATATCAGGGGTCCATCAAACACTAGCTCGCATCATGCCCCTGAAAGGCACTGCACAACTTGTTTTAAAACCTTTCATTTGAGTCAATTTTACGCCGGCTTGCTGAGACTAGTGCTTTCCATGTCATGGCTGATGTAGTTCCATGGAGTATGGACTTCTCCCTTCCTGCCAGTCTGCGTTGGTGTGCTGCTTACGCATCTTCTCGGCCTGTCAAGAAATGTGCAGTCAGCTTGGCTAAATTCCTGAGCTCAAGAAACACGAGTCGAACATCAGAGCTTGGTAAAATCAAGTACCATTGATCAGGAAAACTGAGGGTGCACTGAACTCAAGTTTTGAATTCTTTCCAAGAGATGACGACGTTGAATTCTTTGGAACGCATTAAGAAATAGAAATGACAGAGTATGCCGGTCATTTCAGCGGTCTTCATCTCACGTTTTATGGTGCAAATTCGATGTTTCGGGAGGCTTCGTTATGTGTAAAAATTTATTATGTATTTATTATTGCGATGCTGTTTTTTAAAATATTTTTTTATTAAAAAATATATTTATTTTTAATATCAGCATATTAAAATTTAATATTTTTTCAAATAAAAAATACTTTATAAAAGAGACTATAACGCAAAAATAAACAATATTTGTTTTTCCCATGCACATTCCAGCCCAGAGAAATCAAAGACGGTGACCGGTGAGAACACCAATAGATGCCTAACCCAAGGGCTCTTTGGTGGAAATCCACCAAACTGTCCCCTTCATTTTACCAACCTCTCACGCCAAATTGATTTGTAGTATCCAATATTTGAATTCAATATTCAGCCCAATTACAACCAACCCTCCGAGGGGGAGAGAGAGAGAGATCATCATGGCCGAGCAACCTGTATGTGTGAATCAGCTAACGTATATTTCCAATAATGCATTATCTCTAACACGATTTTGACAGGACAACGGTAAAAAGCTGCTAGATTTTCTATGGTGAAAGCAGAATAAATCGCGATTAGAAATTCTTGCTAGAGAATTTTCAAATGAGAGATTGCAGTTCTCTATATTTTACCAAAACAAGTAATTCCAAGTCTAAGAAGGTACCTAGGAAACACCCGTAACAGAGTTCCACGCGTTGAAAATATTGTTTATCTGAATGTCAAACTCGGCAAAGTTTACCAAACTAAAGAATATGGGAGGCTGTTTTTGCTATAAATACCACAAACCTTGTTCATTGCATGCATTACCACCTTATCTTCTTTGCTTTTATTATCTTCTCTCTTTGTATCCGATAATGGCTTCTTCTCTGCGGTTCCTTTTGTTCTTTTCGGCAACATTGTTCTTTATGCAGACTCTGGCAGAGGCTGCAACGTGTAGCGACTGTTTCATTCATTCTCGGGCAGCTTACTATCCAAATTCTGATGAAAATGGAACAGATAGTAAGAGACCTCTACTAAATATTAGAAGAATAAAAACAATTAAATTAACTGTGCATTTATTACCAATTGAGCATGCTTTCTTATGAGTCTCTTTTCATGAATTGCAGCTGGCAGATGTGGTTATGGTTCATTTGGAGCAACACTGAATGGTGGGGATGTAGCAGCCGCATCTGACCTCTACCGTGATGGTGTCGGTTGTGGTGCTTGCTATCAGGTACCAATTAAAAGCATCATGATTGCAAACCAGCTTGTAACCCAAAAAAAAAGAACTGCAAACATACATTCTTTTTTCCCCGCTTTATCATTACATGGCATGATTCTGTTATTGATTCTCTTTAAGCGTCGAAATACTCACCATAATCGTTTACTGAACCAGGTAAGGTGCACCAACAGTTACTATTGCACTGACAAGGGAGTGACCATTGTTATAACTGACCAAGGATCAAGTGATAATACCGACTTTATTCTCAGCAGACGAGCCTTCGGTCGGATGGCTCAAACCACAGATGCAGCTGCATCTTTATTAGCCCTTGGAGTGGTTGATATTGAATATAGACGGTAAGTTGTACATAATAAGACTTGAAGCAAGAACCTCTTATTTTTTCATTTACAAGAGAGGTGAAAGCAAGTTTAAGAATGACTTGAAAAAAAAAGATTGCTTTTAATAGGGTGAGCAAAAAGAAGTATATTCTTGGTTTTAATCACCAGCAGGGCAAGCATTTCAAACAATCTCCCCAAAGATGAACTCTTAGAAATAGCAACTTGATCATAGAAGGGTTATCAAGCAGCCTTATTCCTTCGTTTTCATGATGAAAACTTCCCCTGCTCTTTATTTCATGAAGATTTGTCATGTACAGTGGACTATTGAACTCTTTCTCCTTGCAGTGTTTCATGCAGCTATTCAAACAAAAATATAACCATCAAAATCGACGAGAACAGCAACTATCCTTATTATCTGGGTTTTGTCATCTGGTATCAACAAGGAAGAAGCGATATTACTGCTGTTCAGCTATGCGAGGTAACATGCACATCTTGTAATAATATCAAATGCACCTTTTATTAAATATGCCTAGTCAAAGATGACGGCAAAGGGAATATTAGCTGATATAACACAGGAAAAGAAACTGGATACAAAGAAAGTAAAATCAGCAACTAGTCACTAGCTCATTGAATGAAAACAACCAAATTTAAATCATCCAAATTTTACATGTTCTTTGAGTCACCGAAACTGTTACTAACAAAAGTTCTATTATGTGCAGACGCAAAATTTTGTATGCAAGCTCTTGGACAGAAGCTACGGAGCTGTATGGACAACTACCTCTCCCCCCCGTGGACCCTTGTCACTAAGAATGTTATTCAGTGATGAAAATGGAGACGAGACATGGGTAGTTCCAGTAAACAACATACCTAATGACTGGAAAGCTGGAGAAACATATGATACAGGAGTACAAGTAAACTTATAAAGTCATGGGAAGCAGATAAATCTATCAAAATAAGCCCGTTGCGCTTCGTTTATTTATTATTTTATCCTTTATTTTTGTACACGGGTATAGGGTCTAAGAAACTCACGGAAGTAATCATTTTAATGTTGACTATAAAAATTCCTGGTATACTAATAAAATTTGATTTCTTATTACTTTACTTTCCTCTACACTAGCCAGAATGTCTACTACTAGTCAACATCACTAATCCCAGTAATGGAAAATACTGCACCCTTCCCTTTAGATATTCTTATAAATTAATATACTTTGTTGCATAGCAGAGTTACCAACGAATAAAGTTTCCAACTTCTATAAATTGATCACTGTTGGCACTTGAAGGGGAGAACGGGAAAAAATTCATACAAAAGTGAAGTCCAACATCTGACGGTTAACGCTTATTCCATCTAACAATTACTACATAGCTGTACATATATAAAGAGAAAATCAGCTCATGTCGGCATCCGAACCTGGTTGTACTAAATAGCTTGTCATTCTTTCATAATCAGAGAAAAACAGCATCTTTGTATAAAATTCCACAGATAATCCAATCACACTGGAATCCTTGCAACAATGGCATGGTGTCATGTTATTATCGGAGACTTTATTTTGGTTATAGGATAAAAACAAAGTTGTAGATAAATATGACAAGAATTATGGTTCTCCTTTCATGATATCTCTTTATCTAATAATTTCAAAGTTCTGTAGCATGCACTTAAAATCTGTAAATCACCATGCTACCTTCAGAATGCTCCCATATGTATCCTAGAAATTTGCAGGGGGGATAACCTTTTAAGTGGAGAGTTTACCCTCATGCAATCCATCTCTAACTGTTAGCAAAAGCAATGAAGTTCAGCTTATCTAAAACCAAACGTGTGTTCATTTGAGCTCAAAACAAACATAATTTCAAACTAGAGATTCTGTTAGTGAGAGAACTAGCTTACAGCCTCCATTGCTATAGCTAATATTATGTGTTCTTGCAGAAAGGAAGTCAGATTTGGCTAGATTAACTCAATATATTACTGGTTTGCAGGAACTTTTGTGTTCCATTAACATGTAAAACAACCTTGTCATAATCCTGAATATTTCTGCTTCAAGTTTGGAAAGGTAAAAATAAAAATTTTCCACAGTTTCCTTTAGTTTACATATGAACTGACAGAAGCATGTAATAAAATTCATGCCCACTTTCTAAAACTTTTTTTTTTTTTTTTGGGGGGGGGGGGGGATGGATTCCAAGACAATCTCATGGATTGTTTTACGTGCTACCCAAATGTTCATGCATATTGAAGGGGTGGACAGCTTGAATCAAATCTAACTTCAAATGTGCTACAGTCACTTAATCAACAGCAACAAAGGCCTTTAAGTATAGGATAGTTTTCTCACTCATATAACTCCTCGAGTGGAAGTTGCATTCAGAATCAAATGAGGACACAACTTTAAAGATGAATTAACCACTTCCCCTGACAGGATATAGACAATGAGTTGCATGGGAGATCAAGAGTCCACTTATCTGTTAATTTGAAACTTCAGTTGACAGATACTATTGCCCCATTTTATGATATTGTTGATGCCTTTCTAATTCAAGTAATCTAAACCAAGTTAGATCTAAGCAGTTCTGGATCAAACTCAAATGTCTTAACACCTCATATTGAGCCACACACAAGAATTGATACCAATTCGGTTTAATGGCACCAATCACCAAACCTTGTACAAATGTTTCACATTACAGAAGACTACTATTCACAGGAACAAAATTTTAACTTTAGCAAAATTATATCTTACTCTCACAAAGTTGCTATGCAGAAGTTAAATACGTATTCTGATAAGGGAAAAATATAAAAAACATAAAACACCCTTTTAATGCTCCCACGATGTATAGGTCAACTACAAAAGTACACATTGACATGAATGGAATAGAATAGCAGGACTATAAGATAATGAAACAACAAAGTGTCTTCAATGCTGAGTTTGTAACCAAAACCATAGATAAAGGTCAATGGCATAATACATTTCATACACAGCAAATGTGCTATCAGCTTATCATGGATTTAGAGTTCAGACTGGAAAACAAAAGAAATCAGTTTTAACACACCTCTTCAGCTACTAATCAGTGTGACCTTATCTTTACAATTTGCAGCTGGATATGGTATCCTTAAACAGTTACAAGGTTCTTTCTCAGGGAAAATCAGCGGTTTGAACGAGTTAGCCCATAACCTGGAGTCCACGTGCTTCCCGGGATTCACACTTGACATCCAAAAGACTTCCGTATTTCCCATTGCAAAAATTGTCATTTTGGCCATCTCCAATTGAAAAGGTGTATTTTTAAAACTTGCTAAACAGTATGGCTGAGTTTCAAGTCCTAATAGAATCTATATTAGACAATTTGATCTGAGCAGCCGCCTCACTCAACATTGAGTGCCTCCTTGAAGTGAAAACCATTTTTGAATTAAGAGTCTTATTCTTCAGAGTCCTTCTCAAATTTTCTACATCATCCCACCTCCCGTCAGCGGCATATGTGTTTGATAATAACAAATATGGAACAATATGATTTGGAAATAACTTAATTAGTTGCTTGGCCAGGATCTCTCCAGGTTCTGAAATACAGTGGACCCTACAAGCTGAAAGAAGATCTCCCCATAAAGTAGGCTCTACCTCCGTATGCATCTTCCTTGTGAGATCTTCTGACGGTTCTTTCAAACCTGCCTGGCCAAGGAGATCAACCAGACAACCATAGTGCTCAGGCTTTGGTTTAATCTTATATTTTCTATGCATTAGATCAAAGTACCACCAACCATTCCAAACCATCCCTGAATGTGAGCATGCAGACAAAACACTCATAAAAGTAGCATCATTTGGCATAGGACCTCCCTTCTCCATCTCCCAGAACATTTCTAGGGCTTTGTCTCCATGTCCATGCATACCGTATCCAATGATCATAGAATTCCATGCCACCACACTTTTTTCAGGCATCTTATCAAACACTCCTCTAGCCAAATCCATTGCCCCACATTTTGCGTACATGGTTAATAGAGCAGTTGAGAGTAATATATCAGGCTTAATCCCATTATCCCTCATATAAGAATGAATCCATTTTCCTTGATCAAGCATTTTCAGTTCCGCACATGCAGTCAAGACACTTACAAGAGATGCTTCATCGGGCACAAAGTCCCCTCCAACCATCATGTCAAAAAATCTCAAGCAATCACTATACTTCTTGCACCTTAGATAAAGAGCCAACATAACATTCCAAGAAACCACATTCTTCAAAGGCATCTTATCAAAAAACTTAGCTGCCATTGAAACATCTTTTATCCTTGCAAACCCATCAATCATGCAATTCCAAGACACAACATCTCTGGATGGCATTTTGTCAAACAATCCTCTAGCCGCCTCCATATCTCCGACTCCCACATACCCAGAAATCATTGAATTCCAAGTGAAAATATCTCTCTCATACATTTCATCAAAGATCTCACGTGCAAGACCCAACTCTCCATTCTTCACATAACCATCAATCATCGAATTCCAACTCACCAAATCCAACACAAACCCATTATCAAACACCATCCTCGCATCCGAGGTCCTCCCACAAACAGAGTAAAAACGTATAAAAGAATTCCTCACAAACAAATCCAACTCAAACCCAAATTTCACTACTAAAGCATGAACCTTTTGACCTTCTCTCAAAGACCCAATATCAGCACAAACCTTAGCAACAAGAGGAAATGTGTAATGATTAGGCAAAACCCACTTAGCAATCATTTTTTCATAATAAAATCTCAAAGCACCAAAAGGGTCATTCACATTCACAAAACTTCTCATTATAGTATTACACATAAAAGCATCAGGTTCTCCAATGTGATTATACAGAGAAACGCAATGAGAAACTGAATTTAAACAAGCACAGAGCTTCTTGATGTAACGACTCGCGGCGAAAGGGTGTTGGAAAAGGCCCAAGACTGTAAGTTGGGTGTGGATTTGATTGAATTGTTTGATGTTAGTACATGATTGTTCCAGTTTTTGCAAGATGGGGTGATTAAGATCTAATGTGGGAGCATTTGAGCTGTTGCTAATCGTTTGTGTGATTTGTTGGGGTGTCGGGTCATTAGGAAAGAGTTTTGGTGGGGTTTTAGAGAGGTTTTTCTTGGATTTGAGGAATTTGTTCAAAGAAAGGGAGTGCTTGTAGTATTTGTGGTTTATGGTCATTTTCTTTGTATTATGGCGGGAAGGTAAAGGGCTCTGAGGTATGGTTCGGGTGGGGAGTCCCAAGTCTCGACTGCATATTAGCGTCTATGTTTGGGGTGTGGCCATGGTGTAGATGTGCAGTAGCAATAAAGAGATTCTTTTTTTCTTCTTTTTCATGAGAGTTCTTGGTTCTTTTGGTCTTGTGTTTTCATTTTCATTTTCATTTTTTTCTTCCTTATGGTTTGTTTCACCGGTTCGATGCAAGACAGTCTGTGTGGTAGTAAAGAAAATCGTGAGAAATTTAAGTTTTTACAATTTGGTTTGACGAAAAATCATAAAGAATCGATGGCCAAGGAGTAAAAACTCCTCTTAGCCGTTATTAAGACTACACTTTTTTTCAATGAACTTTGACATTATTAGCATTACTATTCTCTTAATTGAAGAGAGAGGTATGATCTTACTTCGCTTTTATAATAAATTAGACTTGGCGTTCATGTTTTATTGTGGGGCTGGATTATATTTTTATATAAAAAAAATATTTAAGTATTGAAACGAGGTTAAAAAACAACATAATAATAATAATAAATATATTATGACACTAATTAAAGTTAAGACAATATTATTTATTTTTGAATAACATATACCATCCATAATGAAAAAAAAAATTATTTTTAACTATCCAGAGCCTCATTCAAACTTCAAATTGCATGGCAACCCTAACACGTAAAAAAAAATGTTAGATTTAAGAATATTATTTAAATGTTAAATTATATCATCATCATCAATCAAACTTATAATTAACAAAAAAGAATTAAGGCTAAAAGATTTTAATACCCCTTACCTCAATTACTTATGTTTCTTATATTTAAAGATGCATGTATAATTTGATTGTTTATTTAAAAATATAAAACAATATTGAAACACCCCTACCTCTTTGTGTTGTGTTGATTCTTTTATCTTAGAGAGTACTTTTGTTATTTTATTATAATTAAAAATATTAAATAGATAAAAATATTCTCGGGCAAATCTATAATGATTAATAAACTATATAAAAATATTATTAATTTCAAGGCAAGTCTTTTTTTTTATATAATATATTAATTTCAAGGCAAGTCTTTTTTTTTTTTAGGAAGGTCATAGTCATCCCTTGACTACTATAATGAATAGAGGATTGTTTTTATAGCTACAAGAAAAAAATCCTTTCTTTTTAATTTATTTATTATCAATTTCATTATTATTATCATTATTATTACTAGTATTTGTATCATTACTACTACTGCTATTCATACTATTATTAGTATTGTCATTATTGTTGTTATCATTACCATTATTATTAATATTATTACCACAATCATTGTTATTGTAATCAATATCATTATTACTACTATTATTATTGCGTTTTCTCCTTGATAAAAAGAAATTTACTATTTGACTATATGCATATTTTTTTTATCTTGGTATTGACGCACACTATCTAGATCTTATTCATAAATAGTTATACCTGTCACCGTATATTCTTTTGAGGACCATTCCTATTATATTCATATTATCTATCTTATATATTCCTATTATATTCAATTATAGATTACATCTAATACATATAATTTATATAATATTTTTATATATTTGATTTTTTTATTCTATTTTATTTGAACAAAATCTAAATTTATATTCATTTAAAATTTATTAAAAATATATTTTAGAATTTCTAAGAATTTGTTATTCTAAATTATAATTTAGAATGATTTGTTGTCGTTGAGATAAAAAAAAAAACTTGATTTGAAAGATAAATTAAAGACCATAAAAACTTTGAAAAAGAAACAAAGCAAAAAAAATAAGAAATCAAAAGAAAAGGGAATAAATTGAAATTAGTATTATTCTTATTGCAAAAAAAAAATAAATTAGTATTATTCTTATTGCAAAAAAAAATAAAAAACCCGATATGCGGGATAAAATTGAAAACCATAAAAAATTTGATAAAAGAGTAAAGAAAAAAAAAGAATCAAAAGTAGAAAGATCAAATTGAAAAACATTACATATACAAATTAGAATTGAATAATTAAATTAAAAACAAAAAAAACTTTAACAAAAAGAAACAAAGATAAAAAATCAAAACTAAAAAAACTAAATCCAAAACACCAACAATAACAAGGACTAGAGATAATTTTCTAGGGTAAAAAAGAGAAATTAAGAGTTAAAAAAAAATACCCAACAAACCGACTATCTTTAGATGCCATATTCCACCAATACAGAAAAGAGAATACAAAAAAGAACTAAAAGAGACATTCTACCACCGAGAGATACCACACACGTCATCTAAAGTACGTGGCATCTCCCACAAGCTAGCACTTGGGAAGCACATGCTAACAACTTTTATCATTTAAAAATTATAAATTAAATAGTAAATTATATTATTACTTCAACAAAACCAATAATTACAAAAAAACCAAGATAAAATGACATCCATACCCTATTCCAATGGCTTAATTTTTTTGTTCCTAAAGTCATATACATAGTCTATATTCTAAAAAAAGATAACAACGCCCCTGCCTTACAATGTTAGTTTTCTTTTTATTATTATTCCGAGGATATTTTAGTTCTTACAATGTTAGTTTTCTTTTTATTATTATACCGAGGATATTTTAGTTTTTTTTACTATTCATAAATATATTGAATAAACAAAAACACCCTAAACAAATTCATAATAATTAAAGAACCATGTAAAAAGATAAAAATACCCCTAGTTTAAAAACAAGCAATTTTTCTTTTGAGGGATAAAAAAGTTATCACGTTGTACTAGTTAATAGAAAAATATAAGAAGGCTACAAAGTTTTTGCTTTCTGTTTTAATTTTTTTGTTATTTTAAATTTCAATATCATAGTTGTTGTTGTTATATACTAAAAGATCTTGGTTTTTTCTTGTAGTAATGAATAGTAAAATATCAAGGTCCTTTTCACCTTGGTTTTTAAAAATTTTTAGGATCTTTTTTTTATTTCAAACTTAGTTTTTTTTTTTCAATTTCATCACCCAACATTAGACTTGTTGGTTATTGAACTTTATAAGTTTTGTTTTATTTGTTTTATATGAAATTATCTTATTCTATTAATCAAAGTTTGGCAGGTTAACCTGGGTTGATTCAAATTTTTTTTTTTTTAATTTAATCCTTCAATATTGGATTAACTGGGAATTGAGCTCCATATTTTTTTTTTCTATATGATTATCATAGTTTTATGACTCATGTCGTAAGTCAAGTTGGTTGACTTGATATTTTTTTTTTTATTAATTGATTTTTTTTTCAATTTCATCCTGTAATATTGGGTTGATTGGAAATTTAGTTTCATAAATTATTTTGTTTGTGTTTTTTAAGGTTATTCCAATCTCATGACCTGAGTTAAAGGTTTGATCGGTTGACTTTAGTAGTTTTTTGTGTCTTTTTTTTATTGATTTAAAAAGAAATTATCATACAACATTGGATTGATTTAGAACTGAACTTTATAATTTGTTTTGATTTGTTTTTTTATGAAGTTATCTTAGTTCAATGACTCAGGTTTGACAGGTTAACATGGATATTGGGTTGATTGAGAATTAAATTTAATATTATTTTTTTTACTTACTTTCAATAAAATTATTATAAAATTATTAAAATCTCATGACTTAGCAAATTTGATTTTCTTATTTTTATTTGAGATTTATTTGAAACTTTCTCATATTATGATAAGTTTTTTTTTAAATAAAAATATGCTATTAAAAGATATGTTTTACTATAAAAAGATAAATTAATATGAAAATAGGAGTTTTGCCTGAGAAATTTTTTTTCACGTCTTATATCAACATCTTATAACCTTTTTTTTTCTTTGTCCTTTCAATTTTATTATATCAACATCTTATAACCTTTTTTTTTTGTCCTTTCAATTTTGTTATTTTTTTTTATACTTGATTTTACAAGTATTTATATAGTTTTTTTTAAAAAAAAACATTAATCTCTAGCCAGAATCATTTATGGACAACTCTCATAAAATAATGTCTTAACTTTCATAGTTTAAATTAAACTCAAACTAATCAAAAAATCATGTCTTAGAGGTTTCAATATTAACTTGTTGAAGCAGATTAAATAACAATACAAAAGAGTTCTTGGAAGCCTAGATGTTTTTTACATTAATTTTTTGAAGTTCCACCCCGCATTGTAGAGCGGCTAGTAAACTAGTCTCATTATATAAAAATTTAAGGGGCTATTTTAAAAATTTATGGGATATAATTGAATAATTTACATAATTATGGGAATCAGAATAAACTTCGGGAGGACGTGTCGTGGGCTCCTCCCGCCCTTATGCAGCGCCCCTGCGGCAAAGCCATAATTGATCACTGTACGCGGAGCACTGCTGAAGGTCTGAAGACCTAATTCAACTACAACTCAGTTCATGACCACCAAACACAACATGCTTTTACTTTCCGAGTGTGGACAGAGATGGAACGCACCCTCGCGCTTTTCAAACTCTTGAGATCAGAGAACACGAACCTTCATATGCTTTTACTTTCCGAGTGTGGACAGAGACAGAGAACACGAACCTTCACATAGATACTGCAAAAAGATGGTGGTTGGTTGATCTCCTTGCATCATTAGTTGAAAATCGATTACACTGCAAATATCAGACATAATTTCTCCGCAGGATTTAACCAGAAAGATCCATTACATTTTGAACTCGGAGAAGATATTAGAGAAAGGCACAGGCAACATAATAGCTAAACTCGTAACATATAGTTGGTTTCCATTTGTAAGGTAGTGTTTAATTAGTGTCAGAAAAAAAAGACTATACAGAAGAACATGAGAAACAAAATTGAACTTGGAAATGATGTACAAGATAAAATAACTCTTTATATAATGTTTGATAAACAAGACGATAAATTATAAGAAAATATATTTTACTCTTGTATTATTGTCGAACTTCGAACAATAATTAGAGATTATTAAAAATATATACAAGGAATTTCATCAGTTTACACTGGATGGGGGATTAAATCCGGAACAGGTTTTGATTTTTGAAAGATTCTTTGTTATGACAAATCTAATCAATCAGAGCTACAAATGTACTCCAAGAGAGCACCATATGCTCACACAAAAAAGGAAAAAACAGGCTAATAGTGGGATTGGAGAGAAGAAACAGAAGTTAATTTGTAAAATTCATGCTTAATTTGTGACAGTGGCCGCCAAGGTCTAAAGGAATAAATTACCATCTCACTCCAGTTCACACACTTGCAGTTACATATCAGACACAGACCAAAGATAGGCTTCCCTCTCTGTAGCTTGTTTCTCATTCATCCGTTTGAAAAGTTGTTTCTCGTATCCTACAACAGAGACATCAAAATGATCAGTTTCTACACACACCCTGAATTCTCTCCAGGATAGCTAAACACATTATAACCCAAAATGATACCTACTGCTAGGTGGGCCAGGAGCCTCACTTTAGCGCAAGAAAATTGTATTATTTTAAGCACGTAGAAAGCCAGCTTCGTAACAGGGAGAATAAATCCTCCACATAGGACTTAGACGGAATGTACACAAAAGAAAAAACAGATAAATAAAAACTGGAAGTGATTGAAAAGATGGGCTCTCAGTCCCACTGAGTCTTGGATATCAAACTCTAGCAAACACATGTTATGGAACATGTTACCACCTAATTACTCCCCACACTGGTAACTTACCATAGTTTAGCATGGATGGTGGATCTAAAAACAATTTAAAGAAGCAGAGGACTGACTCGTTAAAGATTTTTCTTTCTGGTTAGCAGAAAGAGAAAGCAATCAGTTCAAACATAACTTACCATTACTTCGATCCACCCCATCCCAATGTCTTCCTGGTCTTATACCATATCGATTTGGAGCAGCATCTAATCCTCGTTTTATCCAGCTGTGACTAGGTATGTCCTGGGGAATTATAAATCCCGATTCCTTCATCTTCTCGCTATCCCCTAGGTCTGCAAGAACCGGTTCAGAATGCTTTTTCTGCAACATGTCAAAATAATGTCCAACTCAGTATTTAAGAATCAACGTCAAACAGCATATACTTTGTATTTTCAGATACATAAAAAAACCAAGCATCAAACTATGTAAAATCTAAGCCAACTTAATCAGTCAACTAATCACCTTGACCAAATGTGCCATAGGATCGCCCCATCTTACTCTTTCCATCAGCATTTTATCAAGTTCCGGATCATCCCTGTGAACATAACAACATGCATCAACAAATTTTCATAATACAAGGTGGGTGAAAAACAAATATATCTTCAGGAATTTATTGGTCATCATTTATTTTCCCATCTTTCTGTGGATCTAAAAGAAGATTTGACAAATAACCCAAAATCTTTTCTCATAAAAAAACAACAATATTATAAAGTTAAAAAAGAGCCTAAAAAATGATGTAATCCTTCAACAAGCAGAAGAAGTGTAAAATAGTCCACAAAGGTGTTAAATAAAAGTTATAAATAGGAAGCATTCATCAAGCATCTTATTCATCAATATGCTAATATAGTTTTAAGAAACATTCAATCCAAAATTTCAGTTTCAGAACAATTACATTGCTTATTTTTGCATAAAAACATTGTTCATCACTAAACTAGCATATTAACCAGGTAGCCTTGGATGAAAATTAGAAAAAATGGATATTGAAAATGGGGTAGCTTCTCCAGCTTCCTATTCGCATCCAGTTTCTATTGTCATACCAAACTACCAATTTTTGTTGCGCAGGATGATGGGTTTAGCAAATCCAGTTGAAGGTTTTTTTTTTTCTTTTTACAGGAAGCTGAAATTCAATACACACCACCAACAATGATGACAATAGCAAAAGTGTCCAATAGTTAATCTATGACTGCTTTAGTTTGCAACAAGCAAAATTATCATCTGGGCTTTAGCTAAGGAATAATATAACATGGTGAGAAATTTGACATGCAGAGTCCAAAACAGAACTGAAAAACAAAAAAAGAGAGAAGGAGATATTCTACTGGTCTGAACACTTTCAATGCAAAGACTGGCACTAAGGCATTGTTTGGCATGTTTAGTCTTACCTAGTCCGTGCAAATGGCTTGTCCTTCTCAAGCTCTAACTCCTCCAGCCTAGTTTCAACTTCCCGCTTTTGAGCCAAGCCCTTTCCCCACTCTAACTTCTTTTCCTGATTAAATAATGCAGCAAAGAAGTAAAACTCATGCTCTGTGCATGGAAAAGGATAAAATAAAACGACGCACAAAAAGAACAAAATTGATACAGAATGGTCCAAAAATAGTTCCAAGGAACATTCACATTGCGGTGTAGGGGTAAACACTTGAACGAATCTGTGGAATCTCTCTGTACTTTAGGTTGGTAAATTAGTTTGGATTGTTGTGTGCTTATAACACCTATTTGGTTTGTGTTCTGCAAGAATATTATGATGTCAAAGTGAAGCAAATCTATTGGAGGCTTCATGATATGACTGCCTCGAGGACAAATATTAGGTTTGTTTATGGCGTCATAATATTATTGCTCTAAACAACCAAATAAGTGTCCAAACCAAAGCAGGTTAATTAACTTACCAACTAAGCCTGCCATCTATGTAATCCACAAACCAAATGTTGGATGTTTCTGGTAATTATGTGCATGCAAACCCACACACAAGGAGAGATAAAGAGCCATTAAACAACTGTCAAACTGTGAAACCTCAATCCTTGCAAAATAAAAATCCTTCCATGTGTATAAAGAACTTTGAAAACAACTTTAACTAATGTCAACAGGGCGGGCTCTTTTATCCCAAAACATCATGTAGCTTCCAAGATAATACCAATCAGATTAAAGTCATAGTGAATCCACAACCACGGAAACAACTATAGCAACAATTTCATCAAATTATGACATATAAGACCATTCAAAAATGAATGTTCATAAATACAAGTTAAAATAGTACCTTGGGTTTTTCCTCTACTTTTTGTTTTGATTTCAAGTAATCATTTTTTGATATGCGCTCTCCTGCAGTATTAATTAGTAAAGCATGGTTAAAAGCATGTTCAAGTAGGACTGGTTTTGGCAGATGGCTCTGCCATCATAAGCTTTTTGGTGGGATAAAGTTTAATCAGAGTTAAATTTACAATTTTAAGGACAGGGATTGGGATTCATATATAATAGTACGATTATTATTTGTTATAAGTTAGAAACTACAGTTGCTAAAGTTCGAAGGCAGATTTTCATGAATTAATTGGCTAGGAAAGGCTAGAAGAATATGTATCGCAAAGAAAAAACATAAAAAAAGGCACAACTTAGTTTAGCTTGTTCCCAACTGAAATGTGACAGAAGCTTGTTCAACAACACCCCCCCCCCCCCCCCCCCAACCCAAAAAAAAAAAACACCCACCCAATATAAATAACATCAACTTGATAAAGCGTGAAAACGTAAATAAACTAGATCAGCAACAAATTAAGGACTAATACAAGCACTATGGACTTAGGACATTTTTCCTTAGACCAAAATGTCATATTTGTTAGCATATGATCATAAACTTTAATCTTAGGTTTACAAATAAAAGATTAGTTGTCAAACATGAAATATATAAGGCATCAACATCTTGTAGAATTCACTAGCCTGTTTTCTTATCACGGTATACAGGTTCAGCACCCCGTCCACTTATAGAAGGATCCATCTTGTCAAATCTGCAAAAGGGAATGGATAAATTGCATCAAGAAAGTTGGATTCATTAAACCACCAAAACATAGCATAACACCAGTTCCTTCACTTCTCCATGTTATTGTAAGTAAAAATGTCAAATTATAGAAAGTAATTCAATCTGAAAGGATTGTGCATTGGCTATATGAAATCAGAGCATAGAATGCAGCTTCCCTACACCATGATATTCATCGAGGACCAACAAAATGTCCTAGTTTAAATTAAAATCAATAAATAGAAGACAAAAATTGTAATAAGAAATTCATGGGTAAAATTTAATGGTGAAATAGGGGAGAATTATAGAAGGAAAGAAGCACTATTCCTTTTCCAAGACAAAGGAGCATTCGAGTGTTCCAGCCATTAGTGTTGATTTTTTTTTCTTGCTGCTTCAATGTATTTGTGAGCTGAATGCTGGAAATATCACTCATATCTCAAAGCTAGTTAAATAACTATATGACCCTATCACAAAAACTCAGAGACTTCATGAAACACCAGTATGCAGACATATTGAACTATCAGCAAATGATACAGAGAAGTCTATAACTGGTGTTTAATTATCTGGCCATGAGCATTAGCAGTCCCCTGTAGCAACTTATACCACAAGTCCCTTCCTAACATTTTCGAAGTTGCAAGCACAAAAATAATGGGGTGATTACTTCACCATAAAATGAGGTTCACCAAACTTCAAATGTGTTTTGACTTGTGTTTGGATACAGTGAAAAATATTGCAAGACTTGATTGGTTTTACACCAAACAATTGAAACTGATGTAGTATTTTTAATTTTTCTTTTTTAACACATTTGGAGTGCAAAAAACTCACTACCACAACCAACCACCTCTAACATGATATATGAAATTTCTACTGCACTAATCCCACATACTAGAAAACCACAAAGAAAATGTTTCTTAACAAGTACAATCTTTCCCATTTTAGAACATCTTTACCCCATAGTTCATTCTATGATGTAACAAACAGTAGCTGCCACAATCATGTGAAAAAAATTCCATATGGTTAGTGCGTGCCAGAGAGCTAACACTAATCAATAGAGGTTTGCATTTAAAATAATTCACAGTTGAAATGAATATGTGAACATACATTGTACAGACAGAAACCAAAAAACTACTTAATTAACCAGAAAATAGACAAAGTCAGCGCATGAAATGAGCAAAGAGGTCAGAGCACTTAAAATAATCATTAGAACTTACAACAATGATGCTTCCTTCTTAGTTTTAATTTCTTCCCGCATATCACGACCAGTGATCAGACCAGTTTTTGGCAGTTCCTTTGAAGAAACTGGATCAGATGATTCTTTCCTGTTTTTCCTTGGTGGAGAAATGTCTTGAGCCATGGATGCACGTGAATTACCACTCTGAGTTGAAAGCTGTGTTGATAAATGAGAATTATCAGGCAATCCTGATCTCCCAACATCCTTCTTTCTTTTCCTTGGGGGTGAAAGATCTGGCTCGGGTTTTGGTGATGGAGTATAGTGTCGTTGCCGCTGTTGTCTTGGAGGAGACAAATCAGTATCTTCTTTCAAAGGCTTCAATTTAGGTGATTCAGGATCAGTCCTACGTCTTCGTGGTGGTGACAAATCAGAATTCAGAACGCTGGAGTGTTTGGACTTTGTATAGGGCTTGGGTGATGGAGAATGATGGTGTTTTTGCTGCCTTCGTGGTGGTGACAAATCACTAGCTTCTCTTGAAGGCTTCAACTGCGGCTCAGGAGATGGTGTATCATTTCGATACCTTCTCTTAAGGGGTGGCGACAAATCTGAATTCAAATTTGTATCAGGACCAGGTGATGGACTGTGGTGCTGTCTCTGTTGTTGCCGTGGAGGAGACAAATCTGCATCATCTCCACCATTATGCAAAGGCTTCCCTTCATGCTCAGGTGAGGGTGTGTCATTCCGAACCTTCCTTTTATGAAGAGGGGACATATCAGGGTAAGGATCAGCAGAATTGGCATGGTTAGGAGATAATATAACCCAACCACTTCCATCCTCAGCAATTGCATTGTAAGCACGTCGAGCTCTAATTAGCTCCAGCCTCTTCATTCTTTTAACTTCTATGTCTTCATCAACTTGAGGATTCTCTTCATCTACACAATCATAACACACAAAACATTATCAAAGCAAACTTGAAACTCTCAAATAAAATAATGTCTAGTAATATATGATTCTTTTTTACCAGCTGAATCATTTTCCTCCTCTTCAAGCTTAACTGGCTTTTGCCAAACAGGGTCTTCATCCACAACTAAAACACCAGAGGCATTCGGTTTAACTTTCTTCTTCTTCTTTTTCACTTTCTTCTCTTCTTCTTGATTGTCACTTCCATATTTTTTCAAATATTCTTTAAGTGACTTGGATCCCATAGTCGAAGACGCCATAAATTAATATAATTATCTTTCCTGGTATGACATTTAAAACATCTTACTACATACCACAAATAAGTAAACAATAATCAACCAGACAAAACAATTAATACAAAAAAAAAAGTAATCTTTATTTTTAAAATAGATAATCATAAACTTAGAGATAAGCAATTCAAAATTCAATAATTAATAGAATCAAAGATAGAGAGTAAAATTGGACCAGTGAAGAATTATTCCAAGCAGCCAGAGGAGAAGTCTGGTGGAGGCATCAATCAGTCACCAATGGCGAGTATAATAAATTAAGCAGGCTGGGAGTGTGTTGTGGTTGAAATTGAAATTCGATAGTTTTTATTTTAGCAAGGAGATTAAAGAGGAAGAGAAACTTTGAAGAACAATAAATGAGAAACCAAGAGATGGAGAGGGGGAGAGAGAGAGGGGGGGATAGAAAATAAAAGGGAATGGAATATTCAGAGTTTGATAAATTGTGAGGACAGTTGAAAGAATTTCTCTAACTGGTTGTTTTAGAGCCAAACACCAGCAAGGATTTTGAATTTTAATTTGGGAAGGGGATGGTTTAGAGTCCACAGATTTTTGGGTTGTGATGGGTGTAGATTATAGCCATGAAGATTATGGCACCGGCAAGGTACAGAATGAAGAAACACCAACTACAATAAGTTCCTTGCCCTTTTGGCTTATCCAACTGATCTTCCTTCCATAGGTTGAATTATGAAGCTTATGCCTCCAAATCCTAATGAAGCTAATGCTAATGCATCGTAGAGGACTGCATATTGAAGCAATGAGTAACCATTTTGTAAGGGACCAGATTCTTTATGGTAAGTTACAAGAGGAATCAGAGGACATACAACTTAATATCAAGAACTACCGTTGCTTCTTTAGCCCCTCTGATCTTTGTTACGGCATGAACTGCCATTCCCTCTCCATGTACAAGGGGGAGAATTTGACAAAACAAGGTCGAAACTAAAACACCCAGATTGATTTTTTATCAGAAAGCAACTATCCCATTAGAGAATTAAAAAACCTACTAACCCTATGCACAGCAACAAACCAGTATACACAAAACGCTGCCAATTTCAGAAAAAACAAAGAGATACCCTAGTCAAGATCCTAGTGGACGAGGGAAAAATGAAATACCCAATATATACACACAAAAAATCAAGTATATTAGACTATATTAAGAGAAGCCCACGTTGAATCTCAACAAAACAAGCAAAAAAAAAGTAAGATTTTCAATCTAGAGGGTATTGAAAAAGACTGAAACCTTATTATTATACCAGCTTTCCTCCCTTCCTTTAAGAATATATTGTTGCTGGTGGTGGCTATGGATCCCGTGGAGGAGGTGGCAGCTTGTGGGTCTCGGCAGAACTTAAGTGGCTGTTTGAGTTGCTGTTTGAGTTGGGGTTGTTTTGTGTTTTAGACCGAGAGAAAAGAGAGGCTAGGTACGTGGTCAAGTTTTCAAAACCTAGGCTAGGTACGTGGTCAAGTTTTCAAAAACTTTTTTTTTTTTTTTTTTTACACGGCACGAATATATAATATAAATTTGAATGGTAAACTTGGTAAATTATCACTAATTATATATTAATAATTTTAATTAAATAATTAAAAAAATCTAAATAATTTTATTTTTATATTAATTCTTTAATTTTTTTGAAAAAAAATTCACTTATTTCACAATTTATAAAAAACAAATACCTTTTAAATTTTAGTAAACTATTTAACATTAATTACTTTAAGAGTTAAACATATTAATTTATAATTTTTATTATATATATTTGCTAACTAAAAAAGAGAAAATTATTAATTAATATGTTAATAATTTATATAAGGTTTTAATAAAAATAAAATAAAATACAAAAATAACTTTTATAGTTAAAAATATTATAATAATTATAATCAAAATTAAACGCTAGATTATTAGATTGCATAATTTTTACAAAATATGAATTTAAAATAATAAAAATACTAAGATATGAATTATTAATTTTATAATTTTATACTGGTAAAATTAATATGAGTTTACCTGATTGACTTTACTAACTTTTAAATTTTTAGTTTGATTTTACATCATAAATATATATTGATTTATAAAATTATATAATTTTATAAGTAAATTTATAATTTTAATAACATTGCATATGGTTATTTTTGGGGGTGTTTACCATCGATTTTTATTTGATTTAGATAAAAAAAATTTAACCAAATTAAAAATTTTTATTTTTGTAAAATTTAACTTAGATAGAACTAAAAACCCCTTCGGTTGAGTCTATTTTAAATATCATTTAAATGGGCTTGTGTATTTGGTTTTTAATAAATCTATTTTAAAGTGGGCTTAAACAATTTTTTACTGGGCTTAGGCTTTGGTAACAAAGATCCATTACCAAACCAAATTGAACAGATGTCCACTATAAGTTATAAACTAATGAACAAATTCAGACAAGAAATAATTCATCAAGTATAATTTGAATTCAGGAAGAATATCAACAATTCAACAACGAAAGAATCTAGTAAGTCAACTACAAAATTCACAAGCCAAATTCAGTAAAATAAAATAAAAAAGTTAGAAGATTAATTTTATAGCATCTTTATGATTGAAGGGTAACTGATCATACTTGATATCTGATTAATAAACATATTCATATCAATTCCATGCACATGTAAAACAAGAAATATTATTTTTTTCACGTATAATTAGATCATACCCAGCATTGGAGACCCTTTTCTATGTACAAAATCTGCCAATGCTTCCACTCCTGATGGAAATGTCGTAGCTTTTGGATCCTAAGAAACTAGGAATTGGGATATTACTAAATTTGTTGAGAATAAAACTAAAAACTTGAGTTATTATTGTTTGTTTTTGTATTTTAAAAGTATTTTTTTAATTATTTTTTATTTTAAATTAATATTTTTTTATAGTTTTAGATCATTTTAATATACTGATATTTAAAATAATTTTTAAAAATAAAAATTTTATTTTAATATATTTTTAAATAAAAATTTACTTTGTATACTCCATATCACCATTTTTTTTAAAGTAATGAAGGTCTAATTTTCCCACTCAAGTTCCTATATCCATACCGGCTTGAAGATTCCGCGGAACTTAAGTGAATATGGGTTCTGGATTTCAACGGAAAGGAAAGCTCCGGTAGTTTTGTCACGGTTGCTGCTCCTCCAGTGATAATAGTTTTGAACATTGAAGATTTTGCAAGTCACCGTGTGTCTTGGTGTCATGATAATTTTTATAGTTATGATTTAAAAATATTTAATTTACAGGAAAAGATTTTAGTTAAAGTTAGTATGATATTTATATATGTTTGGTTAAAATTATAATTGAGATTGAGATTGAAAAAAAATAATTTAATATATTTGATTAAAAATATTTTTTAAATTAAAGATATAAAATAATTTTAGAAAACAACATTGAGTTGCTTTTAACAATTTTGCTTTTAAAATATTATTAATGGTGGGGTTTATGTATAGTAATGAACGATTTACACGTTATCAAATATTAAGTTTTCAGTGAATAGTGGAGAGTGAGGCGCTCTCAACTCCAAACAGCATGGAGTTACTTTTAACAATTTTACATTTAAAGTATTATTAATAACGAGGTTCATGCATAATAATGAACGATTTATACCATTATCAAATATTAAATTTTCATGGTTTGTTGGAGCAGCAAACACAATCACAGAAGCAAACTAACTCTAACATATTCCGTCTCATAAAGCAATTTTGAACATTGAAGCTCATAATAGTAAATTAAAGTGAGAAAGAATCTTGCAAAGAAGGAAAAAAAAAGGATATTTGGGGAGACCGACTATATCAACAAGGTCACTATAAAAAGGCCGAGCAGACTTCATCCCTCAGCTGTTGTATAGAAATTTTTGACCCGAAACAAATTTAACATTGGAAGAGGATACATTGGATGTCCCAACTAGTTTGAGATCCAGACGGGGCTTATTTACATGGAACGACAACAAGTAGCATTCAGGTTGTAAGCAGTATTGTGCTATTACATGAATTTGTACGATGATATATTGAACAAATGGATATTGCCCTCTGAATATACATATAAAAACTACGTAGAGGAAACGAAGGTTGTTTTCTTCAGTGATCAAAGTTTTCAATATATATCGGAAACAATGGCGGAGCATTGAAGGAAAAAGTAGGTCTGTTGCAGAAAAAAGTTTAGCCACTCCAGATTGCATCCAATAATTCCCAACCAAAGGATTATCTGAATCGGACCTTATAGATATCATCAAGATAGTGCCACATATCAAATCTGAACAGTTAGCAAAATTGCAGAAGTGTCCACGCAATCAGAACTCTGAAAATCCCTTAACTTCTACTATCATCCATCACCAGACTTAAATAAGAATAATAGCATTTCATCTGCTTCAGGATCTAGCTTATCTCCTGATAGAAAGACACAAACATTTCCATTTAGCACTATCCAACTGCATCCAGGGACCTTCCTCACACCCTTCAAGCCCATCTCCTTCCTTAATTTTTGCTCCTCAATATGCCTGCCACAGGCTGCATATATGTTGCAGAGTGCAACATGAGCTGGTGCATTCAAAGGATCCAACTCAAGGAGTCGCCTGGCAGCATGTTGAGCAATGTCAGCGTTTTTCTCAGCAACCCCACATACACCAAGCAATGCCCCCCAGAGAGCATGATTTGTTTCAAAAGGCAGTCCCAATATGAGCTCTTCGGCTTCTCTTACTTTCCCTGCTCTTCCCAAGAGATTGATCATAGAAATGTAATGCTCCAATCCTGGTTGAATTGCATAAACGTCTCTCATTGCTTTAAATAATTTACATCCTTGACTAACTAACCCAGCGTGGCTACATGCTGAAAGGATTCCCAAGAAAGTAACTGAATTTGGGCGAGTCCCGGATTGGAGCATGGTTTCAAAAACGTTCAGTGTTTCATTTGCCAGAGCATGATGTGCTAATCCCACAATCATGGCATTCCAAGAAATTAAGTCTCGATAATTCATGTTTGTGAATATGCTATATGCATCATGTATCTCCCCACATTTCGCATACATTGAGATCAGAGAATTACTAAGAATCAAGTCACAGTCTGATAATGTTTTCATCAGCATGTTATGCAACTGCCTCCCAAAATCAAGGTGAGCAATTGCACCTGCTGCTCCAAAAAGAATAGCATAAGTAGAACTTAATGGTGGAACACCATGAGCCAGCATTCCCAAGAGGAAAGAGGTTGCCTCAAGGAAAAGCTCATTTTGGACAAGCCCTGAAATCATTGATGTCCATGCAACCGAATCCTTATCGGGCATGTTTTCAAATAGATAGCAAGCCTCAGAAACATTTCCAATATCAAAATACCCAACAATCATTGAAGTCCATGTGATGTTGTCCCGAACAGGTATAGTATCAAACAATTCTCGAGCCTTTTCCACTTGTCGAGTCCGAGTATAGCCATTAATCATATGATTACAAGACTGAACAGCATAACTATTTAAGCTCTTGTTAAAGACATAGCGTGCAAAATCCATGGAACCAAATAAACAGTACATGTGAATAAGGCTCTTGGCTATCCTGCCATCATAATCCTCATATTCCAACCCATTAATTATCAGTTGAGCATGTAACTGCTTGCCAAGATGATGAAACCTCGTACCAGCACAAGCATAAGCAAGTGAAATGAAGGTCTCTCCATTTGGTGCTATATTGGACCTCCTCTTCATCTCAAGAAAAAGCAATAATGCTTCTCCATAGTAACCATTCCAAGTGAACCCACTAATCATGGCTGTCCAAGAAACAACATTTCTCTCAGGAATTCTACAAAAAAAAGAATAAGCCTCCTGAACATTACCTATCCTGCAATAACCTGCTATCATAGTAGTCCAGGTTATCACATTCCTATCCTCCATCTCCTCAAACAAAACCCTGGCTTCCTCCATTTTACCATTCTCTGCAAACCCCTTAATCATAGCATTCCAAGAAACCACATTCTTCTCTGGAATCTCATCAAAAACCCGCCTTGCTTCCTCCAAATCCTCATTCTTAATCAAACCAGCAACCATTGCATTCCACGAAACAACATTCCTCTCTGGCATCTCCTTAAACAATTCCCTTGCCTCACAAATCCTTCCTGCATCAGCTAACCCACAAAGCATCGAAGTCCATGAAACAACATTCCTCTCTGGCATCTCTTCAAACAACCCCTTTGCCTCACTCAGCCTCCCACACTGCAAATACCCTGACAGCATCACGTTGTAACTAACAATATTTCTCTCAGGCATGATATCAAAAAGAACTCTGGATTCGTCAATGAAGCCAATTCTTGAGTATTTTGTAAGCAAAGAAGTCCAGTGAGCAATTCGGCTATGGCGGCTTCTCTTGGGAAACTTGTCAAGTAGGTTGCGTGCTTGTTGGAGTTTTTGTTGAGAGAGCAAGCAGAGAAGTTGAGAGTCATCTAATGTGAGTTTAGAG